TGTGTGTGTGTGTGTGTGTGTGTGTGTGTGTGTGTGTGTGTGTGTGTTTGCCAACCTTCTTTTGAAACCTCCAAACATAACCCTAGTGACAAATCGCTTTCAACAAGGCCACACCTCCTGATCCTTCCTAAACAGTTTCACCAACTAGAAAACAAACATTCAAATATAAGCTTATGGGGGCCCTTCTCACTCAAGCCACAAGTGGTCGGGACAAGTGACTTGGTCCAGCAGGAATGTACTATGATTCTGAATTTATAACCCTACTATAGAGAGAGAAGAGCTCCGGGAGCCAATGTGTGATTTCCATGCATTCCCAAAGCACCACCATCCGAGACCCGAAGGACAGAGAGCTTGTGAGGACCTTCACCTTTGACCTGGCATATTGGTCTCATGATGGATTTCAAAAGGGTGAAGATGGCGTCCTTATTCCCTCTGATCCAAGCAGTAAATTCGCGGGCCAGGTAAGTCGCTTAGAAACGTCAATCGTAGCTTTTGTATTTGTGTTTTCTAACATGTTGTGCATAGACCCTTCAGTATCCTCCATGCCAGAGCAGGGGGACGCTCAGTTGGTAAAGCGCTTGCTGCCTGGGCACGAGGCCCTGCAGCCTGGAGCCTCAGAAGCCAAGTGGATGCCAAATCTTGCTTCTTAGCTTGTGGTGCTTTTGAAAGGCAAGACCTGACCTGGCAGGGGGAGGGGGAGCTCTAGGTACTAGCACGTCCTTGAAGGAAATGTGGGGGACCCCTCCTCCTCCTCTCTCCCATTTTGCTTTCTGGAAATCAGGAGATGGACAAGTCTCTGCCATATGCCCCGGCCATGGAACATTGTGTCATCACAGACTCAGAGCAATGGGGCTGATTGAACATGAGTTGAAACCACGAGCCCAAAACAGTTTTTCAGCTGATTCTCTCAGCTACTTTACAACGGAACGCTGACTAATGCAATGACACACAATGAAGGGAAATCTTTCCTCTACTTGACCAAAGAATGGGGGGAAGGGGGGAAGAAACTGGAAATGTACCAGATTTTTTTAGCTTGTGGATAATTCAGAATGCATCCCAGTGGACCACGCCCCTAACGCGATTCTACTCTCTACATAGGCCTTAACAAAATTTTGTACTCCTTGAAACTTTCAGTTTATAGAAATTAACAAGGGCTGGTGAGATGGCATCTCCACCAGCTGGTGAGATGGCTGCCGACCTAAATTCAGTCCCTCCGACCAACATGGCGGAAGGAGAAAACCAACTCTCACAAGTTGCCTCTGACACACATGTACCATGGCAAACACACGAACTTCCACACACAAATGCACACATGGACAAAAAATAAATTAAAATATAATTTAAAAATTTTTAACTGAGAACAACAAAAAAAATCTCTAAATTTCTGATAGTCAAGTAGAAAGGACAACAATCACCAAGCTTGGACCTCACCCCTGAGGATTACCAAGGAGCTAGGAAGGGACTGTGGATGGAGCTAGACAGACAGACAGATGCTCACTTGCTCATTTGGTGGGAAGTGGCCCTGGCTGCTCTTGCAGAGGACCTTGAACTTGGATCCCAGTGCCTGTGTTGAATGGCTCACAATCTCCTATAACTCCAGCTCCAGGGCATCCAACATCCTCTCTGGCCTCCAAGGGCGCCTGCATACATGTGAACCTACACACACAGACACACACACACACACTAAACCTTTAAAAAAGAAAGCTGCAGATAACTTCATTCAAATTTTGACTAAAAGTATAGACACAATGTTCTTGAAAATATAGGTCAAATTCCAGTAATCCCAGAGGGCACACAAGCCTTTATAGTACAATAATTTATTCCTTTTTGTTTGCTTGTTTTGCTTTATTTTTTGACACAGAGTCTCTTTATGTAGCCCTTGCTAGCCTAGAGCTTGCTGTATAGACCATGCTGGCCTCAAATTCACAGAGGTTCTTCTGCCTCTGCCTCCCGGATGCTGGTATTAAAGGCACACCACTTTTTATTCCTTTCTCTGAGAAACAAATAGCATTAAACTGGCTATTGCAAAATTTCGCTTAGTAAATCATACTATGTTTGTATGTGTTTTTCTCAGAATTAAAATATAAAGTCTACAAGTGTTTGTATTGTGACAAATGGCTCCGTGGCACTCCGTTTTATTCTTTGAGAACGTGCTGCATAGGTTGTAAGAAAAGGAGCCGGTCATTTGTGGACACAAGCACCATGTGATTCTACTTTTAAAAACGCTTCCTTTTCTCCTGCTTCTGTTTCCCAGAGCACTCTACCACCGCCTAGTTTTAAAAGTTCGTTATTTTAATATCTTTTTGGGAGCTGGAGAGGTAGCTCAGTGGTTAAGGGCATTAATCAAGAACCTTGATTCAATCTCAGCAGCCACATGATGGGTCACAGTTGTAACTCCAGTTCTACTGATCTGATGTCCTCTTCTGGTCTCCAAGGACACCAGGCACACGTGTGATATAAACGCATAGATGTAGGCAAAATGCCCATGCACAGAAAAAAATAAAAGAATAAAAATTTAAATCTCTCTCCCTAAACTCCTCCTAGATCCGCTTCTCCACTTTCTCACCCCTCCCAATTTCTTGACTCTTCCTTCCGTCCTTTTTTTTTTTTTTTCCACTTTTCTAGACAGCGTTTCTCTGTGTAGCCTCAGTTGTCTTGGACTTGCTCTGTAGACCAGGCTGACCTTGAACTCAGAGATCTGCCTGCTTCTGCTTCCCCTAGTGCTAGGATTGCAGGTGTATGCCACCCTGCCCATCTCTCTCTTTCTCTCTTTTCCTTCCTTTCAGGACCCACAGAGACAGTTTCGGCTGTCCATATATTCAGGAGTGTGGGGCCATTGACTGGAGCCCCTCAGCTTACCAGGGGTCACACCCTTAAAGGAAGTTGTCAGAACCTCCTCAGCCGGGCATGGGCCTCAGGAGCCCCCGTGCAGCCTGGTCTGGAATGGTGACTGGCTTGTTGTTGTGCAGATCCTGTGCTGTGAGATCATGGGTGCAGCGCTCCTGCTCGGGTCCTTCTTGGCCTCTGTCTTGCTTTTACCATCTTTCTGTTCCTTCTTCTTCAGTGGTCACTGAGCATCGAGGGGAGGCTTGTTTTTTAAGGTGTGTGTATTAGGCAGCTGTTAGTATAAAAAAAACCCATTCTGAAGAATCGAGGCTTACTCTGTTCCGTTTTGTAGGTCCTGGCCCGTTACTGGCCCATTACTCCAGTCTATGGTGAAGTAATGTGTTAGAGAAGGCATCATGTGATGGGGAGGGGCAAAGCTACAGATCTTCTCTAGCCGGAAATCAAAACCGTGAAAAGAGACTGCACCGTTTCCACAGCCTCCTAGCGTTGCCAACCCGGGGGCTACGCCTTGGACATACGGACCTTTGGGTGGCACCCTAAATACAAACTATAATTCTGTGGAGGGGGCCAGTGTCATGTGACTGTGTGCATGGATGTGTGTTGAAGACATGCTCTAGAGAGCCACTGGGGCTGCTGACACCTACGGTTTCCTTTCTAGAGTGACGTCTTCCATGATATCGGGAGGGGAATTCTAGACAGTGCCTGGAGAGGCTACAACGCCACTCTCCTGGCCTACGGCCAGACCGGCTCTGGAAAAAGCTACTCCATGATTGGCTTTGGCACAAACAAGGGTATTATTCCAAGAGTGTGTGAAGAGCTCTTCCAAGCTATCGAGAAGCAAAAGGAAAATGTAGAAGCCCAGGTATGCGTTATTCTGGAGTCCCTTCTCCAAGGGACTGCGCCTTTCCGTCTTCCACCGGCGGAAGGCACCAGCGCCTGTATTTTCGGATTTATGTGTGTCCTGCAGTAGGTACATATCTATGTATTATGTTGTACATGGCGATGGGACCTGAGCCCAGCCCGCTGCAGGCACAAGCACTTGCTCTACCCCTGACCTTCACCCAAGGTGATCTATGCCCGAGGCATAGAAGACTCCAGAGCAAAAACTTTGGATTCATTGAATGTTGGTGGCAGGCATTGGTGGGACTAGCTCCAAAACATGATGGTAAGATGTCAGCAGACACCCGTAGGTGCAGATCCTGTCTCTGCTCCTGGATGGCAGAGGAGGTCAGACAAAACACAAAGACGACATAGTCCAGCACTGTTTGGTACAGAGAGGGTTTGGTTTTGTTTTGTTTCTGCTTTTGACCCATTGCTGGCTGAATCCACAGATACAGAAAATGCGGATTGGTAGTGGGATCCCATTCTTGAAACTAGTGGATCACCTGGGGTTAGGAGGTGAAGTCTGTGAGATGGAGGCCATTTCCATACAGCCCGTCCTGAACTCCGCCAACAGCACTAAAGGCTAAGGGCAGAAGCCATCTCCTCTCCTCCCTTCCACTCCCTCCTTTGTCTTTCTGCCTCCTGAGTGCTGGGATTACAGGCCTGACCCACACTCCCTGCTTTATGTCTGTTTTTATTCTTACGTATTCTCTACATGGGTATATTTGTGTGCATGGCATACAAAAGTGCGTGCATGTCTGTACAGGCGGGACAAGCTTCTGCACACACGTGCAGAGGCCAGAGGAGGACCCTGACTGTCCCCTCCATCACGCTCCACCTTGTTTCCTTGAGACGGGGTCTCTTGCTGAACCTGGAGCCCACTGTTTTTTAGACAGACTGGCAGGCAGTGAGCCTGGAGCACCTCCCGGCTGCACGTCCATAGCTCTGGGGTTACAGGTGAGCACAGTTACACCTGGCTTTTGTGTGGGTGCTTCGAATCCAGAGTCAGGTCCTCCATGCTGTAGCAGCCAGCGCTCTCGCCCAGTGAGCAGCTCCCAGGTCCTTATGTGTCTTTTAAAAACTTACACTGACTTTGCAGTATCACAAAATATCTTGGGAACCAGGCAGTTTGAGACAAGGCTACTACAGTAATGCTGACCTTTTTTCCTCTACCTTTTTCTCTGTAGAGGATGTATGCCTTTGTTGCCTCTCTTCCTGACAACGCTGACCCCTGCTCTCTCTGCAGGTCATGTTTAGCATGCTGGAAATCTACAACGAACAGGTAACCTCCCTCCCCCACCCCTCTGCCGAGAATCAAACCCATGTCCTTGTGCCCACTAAGCGGGGGGGGGGGGGGCTTTCCCACTGAGCCACACCCGTCTGAGAGCCCGGGCTCTGACTCCATGGATGACCAAGGCCAGGGGCTCTGGCCACCGCTCATCCACTGTGGCCAGAGTGGATGAGTAGCCCACCTGCCCTCCAGCACCTGTTCAAATTCCCTCTTCCTCACACTGTATGCTTTAACCACATAGCAGCTGTATCGGTTAATTTCTATCGCTGTGATGAAACACCATGGCCAAGGCAAGTTAGAGGAAAAAGGGTTTATTTGGGGCTCACAGTTGCAGAGGTTAAGGGTCCGTTGCCACCATGGCGTGGAGAAGCATGGCAACAGGCAGACATGGCACTGGAGCAGATAGCTCACATATGGATCCACCAACAGGAAGCAGAGTGCACCGGGAAGTCAAAGGGCAGCCCAGCGACACACCTCCTTCCGCCTCCTATTCCTTCCCAATGGTTCCACCAACTGGGAACCAGCTAGCCTAACAGATGAGCCTACGGAGGCCACTCTCAGTCAAAAACCACCACAGCAATTCCCCTGCGCTCCCGACACATCCTTAGACATCTGTACGGTCCCTGTGGCGGGGGAAAAACCACTTGACCTCCATGCCATTGCTTTATGTGCTCTGAAGTCCTATGGTCCCGGCTGAGATACTGCTGTTGGGGACCGCAGAGGGGACCGTTGAGGCTGTGCAGCCTGTGCTGTCTGAGGCATGGCTGAGCGCTGCACTGGGGAACACGGGAGCCACAAGACACAGACCCGGGTTCCCTCGCCAAGTGCCCATGGGAGTGCTCGATGCTCAGCTGCATTTCCACAGCATTCTCACCTGTCACAAAATACCGCTTTCCTTTTCATTTCCTCGCCCTATTCATGTAAGAGTGTGGGACACATTCTTAACTCAAGGGTCACGGAAAAGGAGGTGGCGCCTTGCATCTGGCTCACAGCCTGTGTCGGACAGACTTCTGTCTGGGGCGTGAGAAGAACAGAAGAACGCTGTTTCTTTGCTTGATTTTTTTTTTTTTTTTTTGAGGCAAAGACAAGGTACCGCTCTGCAGCCCAGGCCAACTTATAGTTTAGTGTATCTCAGAGGCAGGATGCACATTTATCACCTTAAAGGCCTGGGCTTCATCCCATGGCCACCAAAGTAATAATAATAATAACTCCAAGAGAATATTTATAAAAACAAGAGCGAAGTATATTAAAGCAGAGAAGTCTTTAAAACCATCTGTTTGTAGTCAAAGAAGCGCAAGTATTCAACACCTCAGCTTAAAATCCACCTCCCCAGAATTTCCATGCTCCACAGATGGCGTCCTCTGCCAGCGTGCTCAGCCAGTGTCCCTCGAGCAATTCCCACGGATCGGGAGGAAGAGCTCACAGCGCCATTAGAAATTCAGGCGTGGGGTCCTTGAAAATAATTAAACTGCATTTCCAAAAATAATTGCCGAACTTAAAGACTAGGTTGCTGAGAGCTGGCAGCATGGCTCAGAGGACTAAGGTACTTGTTGCCAAACCTGGTGAACTGAGTTCACTTGAACCCACCTAAGGGTGGAAAGCGAGAACCCCTCAAAGTCGCCCCCTGACCTCCGCATGCACTGTGGTGCTTGCATGGACATATGTGCCACGTGCACATGTAATGAGTCTCGTTGCCCTCTTAGGACAGGCATCTCTCATCTTTGCTTTTTTGGTTTTCGTTGTTTGTTTGAGATAGGGTTTCTCTGGGTGGCCCTGGCTGTTCTGGAACTCACTCTGTAGACCAGATTGGCCTTGAACACACAGGGCTCCTCCTGCTGGCGCCTCCTGGGTGCTGGGATTAGGGCGTGGGCCGTGGCCACCCTGCCGTTCTCAGCTTCTTTCTTGTGCGTTTCCCTGTTTCTTGCTTAGCTCAGTTATAGCTCAGAACCAGGGTGGTCTGGTTCCTGCAGAAACTCAGCGTTGACTCGGCTGCCTGCGACCTCTTTACAGAGCTCCTGAAGGCTCGAGGGCAGGGACGAGGAAGGAAAGGAAGCTCGCCTTCTCCGGCAGTATCTCCCCTCTCCTCCCACAGATCAGAGATTTGCTGTCTCGAACCAAAGCCCCCGGCGGGCTGAAGGTCAGGGAAGACCAGCAGCTGGGGTTCTTCGTGGCAGGCCTGAAGTGGGTGCCGTGCGGGAATTACGCGCAGGTTGAAAAGCTAATGGAGCAGGGCTCCAAAATCAGGATGACGGCCTCCACCAACATGAACGCCAGCAGCAGCCGGTCCCACGTGCTCGTCACCATCCAGTTCAAGCAGGTGGGGGTCCTCCCGGGTGCCAAGGGCTCCGTGGCAGGGTTGGGGGGGGGTCCGTGGAATTCTTGCAGCGTGGACCAACCAGTCCCCAGAGTGCCCTCTGGACGAGGTTGGCTGTTTTCTTCTCATAGAGTTTTCTATGCCTTGCCAAACGAATTTTGAGTCCACGTTGGGGAAGAGGCCTGCTCCCCTGTGGTCTGGCATGGAGAATTAAGATTAGCAGGCCCGTGGCTACCGGTCTGAGGAGCAGCCAGGAGCCAAGGGCACAGGCAGGGGCAGAAGCACCTTTCTGAGACTCAGCCTGACCAAGATTAGTTCACCCTGTGACACCGTTCATTAAGCCAGAGAGGACATCCCCATTCTCCTCCGTGGGTGTCAGGACGTCCGGCTCTAAGCCACATCCCAAAGTTGTTCTAGAAACTACAGTTGCTCCTGCAGCCTGGACGAATGCCACAGCCAGCTGTGATCACACGGGTCTCCTCGGCAACTGAGGAAACCATCATGTTCCCGCCAGGGACAGCGGGCGGAGACAGGAGGCTTGCGGGGGCTTGCTGGCCACAGCCTGGCCAGAGGAGCGAGCCCCAGTACAGTGAGACACTCTGCCTCAAAAATCAAGTGCGGAGTCGATGAGCAAGACACCGGCTATTAATCTCCGTCCTCTGCAGAATACTCACTACGCACGCACGCATACCTGTGCATGCACATACACACAAGCACACACATGCACACAAACACACACGGGGGGGGGGGATTTGCACATTTTAACTGCCATTCACTGGATGAATTTTACTAGATATGTGGTTTTCCCTGTTATTTGAACTTATTCTAGGAGCAAGAGGAGACATTGTACGAAGGCAAATAAGCAAAGGGAGACCATGTCTTTTTTTTTTTTTTAAGTGAGAAAAATAGAATGTAAAAAAAAAAAAAAAAAAGTTAAGAACACTGGCTCTTTGTCCAAAGGTCCTGAGTTATAATTCCCAGCAACCACATGGTGGCTCATAACTGTCTATAATGAGATCTGGTGCCCTCTTCTGTCGTGCAGGCACAAATGCAGGTAGAATACTTTATAAATAATAAATTAATTAAAAAAGAATTCCAGAGTGTTTGTGTCCGTTCAGCTGCAGGACCACAGCTCTGACCAGCTCATGACTTTGCAGATTTCACAGCATTTTATTTGTGAAAGGTTTACCAAAATGCCTGTGCTATGACTGCTCTCCAGGATGTCTCTGCGAGAGAGCTTTGCGGGACACTGAGACCTGGGAAGGCAGCACTCCCAGCTGTCACGGCACGGCGACCGCACCTTCGGTGCCAGCTGTCACTGCTTCATTATTTTTGGAGTCTGAGACACGTTTGATGACGCATGTAAGATGGTGGGCCAGTTTGTCTCCTGGGGATCAACCTGACAGCCTGTGGCGTGTCTCCACAGGTTTTCCTGGACACAGCTCTCACCAAACAATCCAGCATCAACATGGTGGACTTGGCAGGAAGTGAGAGGCAGAAGTCCTCAGGGTCTGAAGGAGACCGGCTGAGGGAAGGATCGAGGGTCAATTTGAGCCTAACCAGTTTGGGAAACGTCATCAGGTACGGTGAGCAACAGCAAGACAGTCATGTGTCTTAGTCGCTCTTCTGTTGTTCTGACCAAGGCAACTTGGAGAAGAAATAGTTTACTGGGCACTCACAGTTTTGGAGGATGAGTCCGTGGCCATCATGGCGGGGAGCACGGCAGCGGGCCAGTAGGCATGACGCTGGAGCAGTACCTGAGAGCTCACATCTTGATCTAGAAGCGGGAGGCAGAAAGCACTAACTGGAGTGTTGTGGGCTTTGGAAACCTCAAAGCCCACCCCCAGTGACACACATCCTCTAACGAGGCCACACCTCCTCGTCCTTCCCAAACAGTTCCACCAACTGGGGACCACGTATTTAAACTAGTGAGCCATGGGGACAATTCTCATTCAAACCAACACATCATGATATGAAATGACGACACACGAGAGAGCAGAGGGTTTTGTTCCGTGTCCCCAGCGAGCCCAAGACCCGGATCCCATCCCCAGCTCCAAAACCTACTAAAGTCTATTAAATAAGATTGATTAATAATAACCATTCGTTCATGATTCCTTGGCACCATTGATCCATGCCCGCCCCTCCTCTATATTTAAAATCAATTAATGCTTAACAAAATAATGAAAGCAAAATAAATATAGACCTGATCAACCCGAGAGCTAGCTGGTGTGGAGTTCCATGCCTGTCCTCCCCTCCCCTCCCCCACTATTGTTCTTCCTTCCTTTGTTGACCTTTTTCTTTTCCAAAGCCAGGTGTTTGTCTCTGGGTGGGTGAGCACGAGTGCACGCGTGTCCTCACGTGTGCAGAGACCAGGATGGGGGATGTCTTCCTCAACTGTCTCCAGTGTATTTACTGAGGCAGGGTTTCTCCACTGCTCAGACAGTCCAGCTAGGGGTTCCCCGGGGAGGCCCCTGGTCTCCACACCCCAAGCTTCGGTGTGCTGCTACATCTGCCTGGCTTTTACGGGTCTGCTGAAATCTGAACTCCAGTCTTCACCCTTCATCCAGTGAGCCCCTCCAGCCCCCTCCTGTCTTATTTATCACAACATTTTTATGGTACATTTTTAAAACTTTATGTAAAAAGGTAAAGTGTTACAATTTCTTCTGAGAATGACTTTTAAAAGCTCTTTAATTAAGGTATAATTCGCAGTGAAGTACATACATCCTTTTTGTTTTGTTTTTAGTTTTGAGGTACATAAATCTTAAATGTTTTATTCAATGAATTTATATATACATTTTCACACACACACATACACACACACACACACACACACACATACACACACACACACACACACACAATGTAATTAGCACCCAGGTCAAAATATAAAACAGTTTCAGAAGCCTTGAGTCTCCATCACACCTCTCCTTGTTGGGACACAATCCTTCCCCATTGGCACACCACCAAAACAAACTGGCCTTTACCATCAGCTCCATCTTTGTCTGTCCTGAGTTTTATAATTTAAAATTTTAAATTATGTATATGTTTGTGTGTATGCATGTGGGTATGCACATGTGAGTGCAGTGCCCATGGAGGCCAGAAGGGGGCGTCAGATGCCCTGGAGCTGGAGTTACAGGTGGTTGTGAGCTATTGTGAACTATTGCGGGAGTGGGACTCAAACAAGTTATCTGCGTGAGCCGTACATGCCCTGAAGCTCTGTGCCATCTCTCTAGTCCCTGTCTTTTGTGTAAATGAGGCTGTGGACACAGGCCTCTGGCTTATGTCCCGTCTTCTTGGACACCCTCGCATGAGTGTCCGCTATTCTGTGTTTCGATTATTGTCACTTTCCAGGGTGCATTAGTTACTTCTCCCTGACGTGAAGCTACTTAAAGGAGGACCTATCTTGGCTCATGGTTTTGAGTGTGACCAGCAGGGATGTGTGAGGCCCCTCCATCCTACCCCCAAGGAGGCAGTTCCCTTCTTATCCCGTCCACTGATTACTCTGTCTCTGCTTCTCGGCGCAGTGCTCTGGCTGACTCGGCCATGGGGAAGAAGGTCCTGCATATTCCCTACAGGGATTCTGTTCTGACCAAGCTGCTCCAGTCGGCTCTGGGCGGCAACAGCCGGACAACACTGGTAAGGTCCTTCTTCCAACATGCGGCATTCGCTCAGCTCTCAGTGCGCTATTGCTCAAGTCACTCTCAACTCGCCCAGGACTTATCGCTTGGCTCTTCCCGTCACATCATTTCGCCGCAGCCCCAATGCCTGTGTGAAAAGGCTTCCACAGTATTGACTATTTCGCTTATTATTTGCTGCAGCTTTTGGGTTTGCTATTTGGAATATATGTTGCCTTCATTTTGTCTCTGTTTTATGACAGGGATAGAAAGTAGAGCCTAGCACACACTAGCAAGTGCTCTACCACTGAGCCATGCCTCCAGCATGGCATATTATATATCATCACTTCTGGCATAAGAACAAAATTACGACTACTACTATCAGCATTCCATGGTGAAGCAGGTAGTTGCCAGGCAGATGTGCAATCCCTGAGAGTCAGCTCTGTGGGTGCAACCAAGGCCTTCTGCTCTCCAGTTGCAGAATGGGACAAAACTGGGCAAACGCTGCCTCTTCCCCAAACTCCCCAAACAGTAAAGCACACCCTTGCTTTTTATCATGAACTATTGCCTAAATACTTGGATCTTAAAGTCTTCCTGAGTGTCAGTTATTTGTGGATCTCAATGGAATAAAACAACATCCCTGCAGGGCTGGAGAGACAGCTCAGCCATTAAAGACAAGGCTTACAACCAAAATCAGTTAACATTCCTGCCAGGCAGTGGTGGTGCAGGCCTTAAATCCCAGTACTCAGGAGGCAGAGGCAGGCTGATCTCTGTGAGTTTAAGACCACCTTAGTCTACAGAGTGAGTTCTAGGACAGCAAGGGATACACAGAAAAACCCTGTCTCAAATAAACAAAACAACTCCCAAACAAACAAAAAAAACACTCCTCTGAGCTGGGGGTGTAGCTCAGGGTACAGCATTACCAAGTATACGATTCTGGGTTCCCTTTCCAGTACCAGAAAAGCAGAAACAAAACCAGCACACCCAAAATACCTTCTGAATGTCAGACTTCGGATTAAACTCCAACAATCTGACAGGAGTATAGTCACCTGAGACAGGGGCATGAGGACAGCTGTGCACATCTGCAAGACCGAAGAGGGCAGCTTTGAGGGCTTTGCTTGTTTTGAAGCAGGGTCTCACTCTTCAGTTTAGTGCGGGTGTATTCGTTTATCTCCTTTATTTGGGTTCTTGTATCTACCACTCTTCCCTCCCCCAGTCCCTTCCAATACCCCAACACCAGGTAGGAGAGAAGGTTAAAGGGAAAGGGGGTGTGAGTTCCTTTTAGACTACTTCCTGCTGGTTAAGGCATTGAGTTCCTTGAAGCAAGTCCAATCTTCAGCTCATCGGGGTATTTCCAACTTCTTGTTTCTTTTCTCTTGACCACTTGACAAACCAGCAGGATCAGGAAGCAGCAGGAGGAACAGCTGAGCCTCCTCTCTTGGGGCTCTGGCCTCTCTAGAGTTCCCAAAATTAAACTGTCTTCAGCTGGCGGAATCACGCCCCTGCCAGAGCACGCACGAGGCAAATAGTCAGCTGCTGTGGACAGTCTGAAGCGGCCCCATACCCCGCACATGGGATTAAAACAAAAACATGTCCACATAGCATAACTGGGTTTTTAAGGACTCCAAAATTCTCCCTACATCTTAGGCTGGCCTCAAAATCACAGTCCTCCTGCTTCAGCCTCGCAGGTACTAGAATTACAGAAGTGTACATTCTAAGCCTTTCTCCTACCCTCAGCCGGTCCCTACCCCCACTGTAGTGTTTTAACAACAGCAAACTATTGGAGAAAAGGAGGTCGGGAATGAGTGTTGAGTGTCCCGGACCTAAATGAAAACCACAGAATGGTCACAGCCAACCTCCAAGCTCCACGACACCAGCCCCAACTTCAGCAAAAGTCTCTTAAAAGGAATTAAGCCGCTGGCTCCAACTCATTCCAGCGGATTCAAGGAACAGGCTGTAAACATTGGTTACATGAAATTCAAGGCAAGTGAGGCTGCTTGTCAACACAGTTCTCTTAAAGGCCAGTTGGAGGAGTGCACAGTAGGAGAGCGGCCTTCAGTCTCGCCTGACTTGACAGCGTATTATTAACTTCGCCTGTGAGGTCCAGCAGAAGTTCCAGTCCTGCAGAGTGTGAGAGATATTTCCACAGTATTGTGTTGCCACAGTACTGTTCCTGGAGCATACCATACCTTTGCCCGAGTCTGTGACAGTCTTTCCGGAGAAGTTTTAGCAAAGAAGAAAGACCTGTCCTGAAAATAGGCAATAACATTCCCAAGGCTGGGGCTGTATAGGGAGGAGGAGACAGCAGGGAGCCCACCGTTAGAGGCTTTCTTCCAGCCCTGAAATCCACCTTGTCGCTGCTCTGCTCTTCCCACGACCCCTCGGGAAATGAGCCAAGAGAGATCCTTCTTGGCAGGTGATGCCCCAAGTGTTTTGTCTCAGAGAAGGAAAGGCCACACAGGATCCATCACTGTGCTCTTGACAGGATCTGGGCGGAACAAAGCTTTTTCTGTCTGCCCTGCTAATGCACAGCAACCCCTCAGTTTCCTGAGGACTTTGCAGAAGACCCAGTACCTCTGAGAGCCCGGGGCAGAGGCAACACGGTGGGGACAGATCTCAGAATTAGCCAGTGGCTGGTCAAGTTCCAGTTTTGGCCAGTTGTCTTCTGGTGGCTTTAGCTGTGTTAGCTTTCTCTAAATGGGCTTGCTGCCAATCCTGACGACCTGAGTTCTAGTCCCAGAACCCATATGGTAAAAGGAGAGGACCAACTCTTTGCAAGTTCTCCTATGACACATGCACACTGTGGCAGGCACACACACACACACACACACACACACACACACACACAAATAAGTTCAGAGGTGTGGAGAGATGGCTCAGTGGTTAGGCTCACATGCTCTTGCAGAGGACCGAGTTTTGATTCGCATCACCCACATGGTGGCTCACAACCATCTGTAACTCCAGTCCCAGGGAATCTGATGCCCTCTTCAGACCTCCACAGGGACCAGTCACACACACGATGCACATACATGTAGGCAAAACATTCACATAATTAAATTAAATAATAAATTAAAAGCTAAGTAATAATTAAATTCACATAAAATTAAATTAACTACACAAAATAATTGAATGTTTCTTAAAAAGTAATTTAAAATTTAAATGCTGAAAACTATAGGATATAAACTGCTTGTGAACATTAATTTTATCAGCATGTGTGTGCATGAAGCGCACATATATGTACAGGTGGGAATGCAAATGAGTGAGTGAGTGTGTGTGTGTGTGTGTGTGTGTGTGTGTGTGCATGTGAAGACCAGGCAACAACCTCGAGGGTCATCCTCAGGAATGCCATCAAAGACCCTTTGAGGCAGGGTCTCTCATTGGCCTGGAGCACACTGATTAGACCAGACCACCGGCCAGTGAGCTCCATGGATCCTCCTGCCACCGCCCCTCAGGACTGGGGTGACAAGTGTGGGCCAGCACACTTGGCGTTTTGATGTGGGCTTTGGTATCAAACTCAGTTCCTCACACTTGCAAGGGGGCACTCTACTGTCCGTGCCCCCCCCCCCTTCTTAGCCCCAAAATTGGCTATCTTAGTAGCATCGATGGTACGTTTCCAGATTGCGGCCATCAGTCCCGCGGACATATGCTATGAGGAAACCTTGTCGACGCTGAGATACGCCGAGAGGTGAGTAGTCTGTGAGCCCGAGCTGGTCGTCCTGTTCTAAGTCACAAGTCCTTTGAGAACTCGGCTGCTGGGTGGGTGGGGTTTGGGGTGGGAGTCCAGGAGAAGGAGAACAAAGCGACTAGCCAGAGAGGGATGAAAAAAATAAAATAAAACAGAGAAGGGGGGGCTGCGGAGGACGTGGCTGCGCTTGCTGCTCTCACGGGGACGACCGAGAGCTACACCTTGACCTTAGTGTGCTGGTGTGGGGCCTGTAATCCCAGCACTTGGGAGTCAGAGGCAGGTGGACATGAGTTAGAGCCCTAACCAGCCAGGTGAGAGATCGGGTCTCAAAAACCGAAACAACGAAACCCTACAGTTCAGATTATGCCTCCCGTGAACCGCCTCTTCAGAGGCTTCTCATCCGGAGAGCCCTTTCCTGTGGGTGAAAACCACATTCCCCATCATTCTTCATTGCGCAGACGCAGTGCTGTTTTCGTGCCAGGACAGTTTCTCCCAGCATCTGCAATGCCAGCTCAGACCTGGAGGTGGAGCTCTGGCTCCTCTAGAATGTCCCTTTTCTCCCGCCTCTGGCTGCAATCTTGTCAGCAGATTTCTGGGAGGCGATGTGCACAGAGAGGCACTGGGCGCTCTGTACTCTGTCCCGGGCCTCTGTGTTTGACGCAAGCCTCGATGGGATCTGTTTAAATTTCTTTTTAAGGCAAGTGGAGCTTAAGACACCCGTAGGGGTGGAGCCCTAGGGTCCAATCCCCAACACCAAGAAAACAAAGCACAAGACACCAGTTAAATTTGAATGTCAGAGAGTAAGTCGTGTTATGGGATGCCTGAGCACTGAGGTGGGAGTTGGGGGGGAGGGGAAACAAGACCAGAAACCCTCCGGTTGACTGTAGCCAGTGCCACATAGGGAAGCAGTTTGCCTATGGCTTGCTGGATCCTAATTGTTGATGAAGCACATTCTTGAATTAGCCAAGTGTGTTCAGGACCTAGGGTATTCAGGGGCCAGGCACGGGGACTCGGCAGAGCTTCGTGAGTTTGTGGGAATCCTGTCGGTTACTGAGATCAATTTTGGTCTTAATGGTTGTAGCTATGTCTAGCCTATTGCCCATAATGCACCCCAGCTATGAGTGTGACCCAAGAAATTTGTAGATGGCAACGGAATGCCACATGTCAAATGGCTGGACACACCGGAAGTGGTTTTGCCTGGGCTCTGGGCTTGCCGCTGTTACCCCAGGGCTGGAGGTACAGCTCTGACTGGAAAGGGGCCTGAGAGTGCGTTTGTCATTGCACGTGACAGGGCTAAGAAGGTTCAGAACAAGGCTGTGGTCAACACCTGCACCCTGGTGAGGGCGTCCAGGGCTGAGAACAAGCTGCTGCTTGGATCCGGGGACGCTGGAGCGGCAGGTAAATCAAGTCAGGAGGCTACTGCTCAGCCTAGCCTGGGGGGAGTGAGGACAGGCCACTCACTCCCATGTGATGGGGTGGGGGGAAGGCCAAAGTTTTGTTAAGGGTCTTTTGGCTCAACCTTCTAAAATTCCAGCTCTGAGGTCAGTGGGGTCTCATTTGTCACATGAAGCAAAGGCCTTGCGCTTTCCCACACTGCTTAGAGAGGGTTAGGATCACCCCCGAGGACACGTTTCCAGGCTTCCTAGGCCGACCGGCACAGCGCAGGCGTCTACTGCAAACAAGCCTGGACGCAGAGGGTGGCTCACCCCTGGCTCTGCTGCCGCAAGGCTCTGAACGCGCAGGGTGGTGACCTGAGTGTAACGTCTGATTCCCACAATCTATAAACCCAGGCAAGAAACATACGGAAAAGCGGCGTCAGGCAAATCCGTCTAGTTAGATGGGAATTCCCTGAATAGATGGTCACGCGCCTGTACAGGTGAAAAGGAGGGGGGGTGGGGCTCTGAGCGTATTCATGCTCTGATGTCTGAGTTGCCCGGGGACTGAGCAGATGAGTCTTCACACACAGCCACACAGAAGCAGCCCAGTCCCGTGTCCGTCCCGTCTCTACCCCACCCCCCACCTCACCTTTGACGATGCCTGAAGCTTAAAGCCCCTCTGTCTTTCCAGAACACTCAGCCCGTTTCCTGGCAGAACTGCAGCTGGGGACTCGGGTAACCTGGGCCCACCTGCTGGAGCAGGCACGCAGGGAGTGGGAGCAACAGCACGCGGCCCTCACAGAGGTGAGGCTCACGCCCACTCCACCTCCCTCCACACAGCCCGCAGCCTGGGCGGCTGTGGGCTCCAGACTATAGAGTGGGCAGAGCTGGGGCCTGAATGATTCAAGGAGGTCACAGCATGCTGATGGGTGAAGACAGATGTCAGGGCTGTGGGAGATTTGTTTTTGAAGAACTAAGGATCGTGTGTGTCCCCTGGGGACAGTATGCATTAGCCTGAGCTATTGCGCCTCTCTTGGCTGGCAATCACTTTCAGATCCTAACAGGCTACTCTGTGAGTACAGTAATCATCATCGTGGTTGTGCTAGGGTGTGAAAAACCCAGGGCCTTGCAAATGCTAGGCAAATCTTTGCATCGCTGAGCCACACTGTGCCCGCTTCTGAGCCAGGCTGTGAATGCCATCCATGGGTGAGAAAGATGCCCTACCTGCCCACTGTGCCACCCTGACTCCTGCCAGAATCTTATTCTTAGCCATGAGGCTCTGAGCAAATGCCCAAGTCTTGGACCAGGCCTGGAAGTCTTGGGAGAAAGGGGAGACTCCAACTTGCCTTCTAAGAAGATGGGTGAAGCCCAGACTAAGCCCCGGCTGGTGGGAACAGAGTAGGATGTGGTCTCCCGGTGTCAGAAACCCAGATCAAGTTACAGGTCAAGGGTTCTGAAGGTCTGTGCATGACTCAGTGCCAGCAGAAGCCCTGTTAAATAGCATCCTGTGAAGCGTGTCCCTGTGTGACTCCGGGTTTAAGTGGGATTCAGAGCACAGGACTACGGAACTCTACAGTCTAGTGAGCAGTAGCCACCAGGACTTTCAACTTCTTTGTTCTTAAGCAGAAGGAACTTTGGGGTTTAAAAATCACACTGAGCCACAGCATTTGCTCTTCTTCTGTTTGTCCAGCCTCCATAAGCACAATATGGTCCTACCCTTAGAATGAACCCTGGCATCACGGAGGAAGAATGCATGGGTGTCATTCTCTGCCATTCATAGCTGGTGCTCGGTTAGCTAGCAGCAAGTTAAAGGACACCCCTCCACCCCCTACAAGGGGCAGGGAGCAAGTTGCTGGAGGATGCCAGGGGCCTGAAGAAAGTGGGCAGAAGTAGAGAAGGGAGAGGTGATAGAAGATGGCTGGGGGGTGGGGCAAAAGGAAGTGGGGGACCCTGGGCCTTGGAAGGGGCCAGCCTGGAAAGCTCCCCTTCCTCCCTTGGTCCCTGGGACAGACTTCTCTCTTGTCTTCCTAGGAGCAGGAGATGGTGAAGACCCTCCCACATCTCCTCAATGTCAACGAGGACCCGCAGCTTACAGGGGTCCTCAAGTACTTCATTCATGATGGTACTTGATTCTGCCGCCCCCACCCCCAGGCCAGCTCCGATTCCCTTTTCTTCCTCCCTCTCCTTCTTTCCTTCCTCTCCTTCCTTCCCTCCTTTCCCTCCCTCCTTCCAGCCTCCCCCCTTTTCCTTTTTTGATTTTTAAAAATTTTGTACTACAAAACATATGGCATAAAGTTCACCTCTTTAACCACTCTTGAGAGTATAGTGCAGAGAGGCACTAAACCATCACCACATCTCCTTCCAGAACTTTCCATCATTGCCTCAAGCCACTAAGCACTGCCTCCCCTCCCTGAGCTCTGGTGACCACCACTGTTCTTTCTGTGTCTGGATCTCACCGTGCCAAGTGCCTCTTAGCAAAGAGACCCGCACACCTGCCTTGTGTCCGTCTCAGTTCAGAGTATAATTAAGCTCGTCCAAGGTGCAGCATGGTTTGGAATTCTTTCCTTGATCATATGCCTACATTGAATGTTATCGAGACATTGCCAGCACACAGTCACATCACACTTCTGTCCAGTGGTTTCTGAGGAGGTGGCAGCCTTTGGAATGTCTCTTCAGTGTGTATGCTACTGAATGGGTAGCCCAGAGCCCAGAGCCAGGGTGACTCCTGTGCTCCTCTCCCAGGACACCATGCATGTCTAAGACACGTGCAGGATGGTGGCAGGAGAGCCAGACCCACTCAGGAGCCACAGGGCGTATTGCACACCCCGAGTGGCTAGCCACCACAGAAACAGCTTCCAAGAGGAGCCTGGTGGGTCACTGAGGACCAAGGCCCATGAAGAAGCCAGCACTGTCACCAAACTGAAAATCCACCCCCCCCCCAAAAAAAAAAAAAAGCAGAAAAAAAAAAAAAACCAATTACACATAAAGCAAGGTTATGCCCGGTTATGATTGCTCAGATTAGATTAGAAAGCAAATTCTTCGAATGCTTTTTTTTTTTTTTCCGAATGCTTTTAATGGGGGAAAAAAATCCCACTTTCAGGTATAAAAAAAAAAAAAAATCAAGCATATTACTTCATCAAGGCCGATGCCAACAGTCTTTTAGATAAACTGTCCTGACTCTTTACAGGCTCCTGTGATGGTGGTCGGGCTGCCTCAAATGCTATCCGTCTTCAAGGCCTGGGGTAAGAGCAGCACCCGTGTCCCCAACTAGAGGGCCAGGACCTCTCAGCCCAAAGAGCTAGCTTCCTTCCTTCCTTCCTTTCTTCTTTCCTTCCTTCCTTTTTTTTTTTTTTTCTTTTTTTTGAGACAAGCTCTCACTGTGTAGCCCAGGTTGGCCTCAAACATGAAATCCCCTTGCTTCCTCCTCTGAGTGCTGGGTTGTCAGGCTTGTGCCAACATGCTTGGCTGGAGAAGATTCTGGAAAGCCATCGGACAAAATAAATTGTAAAACTTTAAAAAATAATTTAAAAATTATGTGTATATGTTTTAACTGGCACCACAGGTATGTCCATCTGCAGCCTGTAGCGCGGTTTTCAGAACACATGTACAGTGGTTAGCGGTCGGAGGTACTAGGGATCTTGAAACACTCAGCTAGCAGCTGTTCACCCTTCCCTTCCCTCCTCCCCGGCTATGGCAGCCACTCTTCTTTGAGATCAGTGTCGGTCGGGACCTCCATGTGTAGTGTTTGCTTTTCCGTATCCTGTGGATTTCATAATGCCCTCCAGTGGCACCCACGTTGCTGACCTCATGGGAATCTGTTCTTTCTTTCTGGCCAAATAGCTTCCCCCCGGTGTACATACAACACATTTATTGTCTGTTGATGGACGAAGGGGCTTGTTCCATCTTGGCGGCTGAACCGTGCTTTCCTTCCTTCATTGCTAGCCGGTAGCTTCCAAAGACTTGTGATGGTCTGTGTCTGGGGGTTCCTGGCGGCTGTAGGCCCTCAGCTGGGTTTTTTTTCTGCAACTAGAATAGCGTCCTCAGTGTCTTCCAAGGCCCTGCACCCTCCAGGGCTGGGCCCTGCAGCCCCCGATAACCTACGCAGAATGCTGTGTGGTAGGGGGCAGTCTGAACTTCCCCATTGAGCACAGTTGTGGCCATCATGCAACTTGACCGGCCATCGTGTGACAGGCTACTGGGTGACCGAGGCAAACTCTTATCTTCTAAGAATTTCGGATAAGCATGTGTCCTTCGTGAATTTGGACAGCAGAGTGACGGTCGCGCCACACGGCAAGTGCAAGGTCATTGTTAACGGGGTACCTGTCACCAACAGGACAAAGCTGCAGCATTTGGTAAGCTCCTCGGCCAGGCCCAGAAGTGTCCCGGTGATGCCCTCCGGATGGGGGCAGTGGTGGGGGTGGAGGTGGGTCTCTTCCGAAATGTCTCCTGTCACAGTGAGAGGGGCCTGGGGCTTCCCACCTCTTGCCTGCTCCCAACTCACTGAGTGCCGAGGGCATCACTTCACTTCTCCGGACATCACCATGAGGGAAAGGTGGAAATGGACACGCTCCATTTCTCAGTGCTCATATGACATTTGAGGCTTAAGAGGACGGTCCCTGGGAGTGACGGAGCGCCTACTTACACCAGGCCCGATTTGTCCCCATCTATTCCTCCGCCCTCCTCGGAGTCTTCCAGCACGGTGGCTCCTGCTGGCTTCCCTGAGGCCTTCTTCCTGAGCTAATCACTACCCCAGAAGCCACACCCCTCTGAGACAGGCAGGTGGCCCCGCCCCTTCCCTTTGAGCGGCTCCTGGTGAGCCCTCCCCCACTTCACTGCCCAGCACGTCCCACACCGCAAGGACTGTGGGCGAGCAGCAGTGTGGCGTGGCCTACCTCCCCAAAGAGCCCCCACGTGACATCTGCTCTTAAATCTTCTGCCCTCCCAGAGGGCTTTGAGATCCTAATCCCAGTCAGACCCCAGCACTCCACAGAACCCCTGTTTTTCTTCTGAGGCTCTGACCATGGTGGTTCGTATGCTGGAAGAGGGTACGGAGCCCAGGTGGTCATGGAGGGAAAAGAGCTCTCTTCCCACTGTGGCCTGAGTAGGAGCCTGGGCCCCGGAGCAGGCCAGGCCTGGCCTCCCTAAGCCCTTCCTCCCAGGACCGCATCATCTTGGGATCCAACAGCGCCTTCCTCTACATCGGGTTTCCCTCAGAGCGGGGTGCTGAGGACCTGAGCAGATTCGACTACGACTTTTTCCAGCTGGAGCGAGCAGCCGCTGAGGGAGTGAGTGTAGGCACATTTGGTAAGTGGTTCGGGGCCTGCCTTCTGGCGCCTTCTGGTACAAACACAAAAGCAGATGCTTTCATGGTGTCAGAGTGCAATGTGCAGAAAGTTAAAATGTGAGCACAGGCTCCCTCTGTCTCTCTTAGTGCATGCCGGGGATAAAAACCCAAGGCTTTGTATTTTTGCTTGTTAGGCAAGTGCTCCACCACTGAACACCCAAATATGATCCTCACAGAAATAGAGAACTGAATACATGTCAAAGATGTGCTTTACTCACTAAGCCTGCCCTAAGGGATGAGGGTGATGGCGGCCCGAACTATAAACCTTGGTATGGGAGAGAGCTACATACAGCAGCACGTGGAGGCAAGAATGCGGAGCTGAATCAGTGGGTTAGATGAAGGCCTTCAGCCAACGGTGCTGCAGAGAGATGGTGCTGGGCAAGGTCCAGGCCTTGGTCCGGAAGGAACTGCAGCTCCAGGTTTCTGAGTGGAAGATCCTTTGTCCCTCAGCCCACCCTCCACCCTCTGCCTGTCCACCTCCCCTCACTCCACAGCCTCCTCCCCCAGTATGGAGTCATGTGCTCAGGCTTGGCTGGACCCCACTGAGGGCGTTGTGATGTCTGGTTGGGGGGGGGGGGCACCTATGCTCTGACTGCCTTAATGAAGCCTCAGGTGAGGAGCAGTGCTGAGATTACAGGTATGAGCCACACCGAGCTCTGTTTAGGTTTTTCAGATCTTACTGGGTAGCCAAGGCTAGCCTGAAACTCACTAGGCAGCCCAAGCTGGTGTCAGTTTGTTAACCTGCCTCAGCATACTGAGTATTGGGATTACAGATGTGTGGCACCGCATCCACATTCTGTCGTTCTTGATAGAAATCCAAGACCAAGACGGTGCCGTGCTTAAGAATACCAGCTTCAAGGCCATGAGACAACGTGTGTAATGAAGATTTTGTCATTTTGGTTCCTTTAAAAAACAAGAAATGTTATGGGAATATGTTTCCGTTTTTATCGCAGGTGGAGGGATAAGAGGCTGCGTCACAGCAGCCTCGTGCTCTAGCAGGGGTGTGGTTTTGCCAGCTGCAGAGAGTTTCTGTGAGTGTGTGACGTTTGGAATTCTGGGAACTTTTCAGAGTAGGATCCTGAGAGACGCATTTGCTGTTGTTGGCTGGTTGGTGGTTGGATACGGTTTTGTTGCGCTTTGTCAAGTAATCGTGCACAAAGAATGGAGAGGAAGAAATTAGATATCCTGATCACAAAGGTCAAACTTGCACAAGGGACGCCCCAACCAGCAGGAAGTAGTTTAACAGCAACAGTGCTGCTGACTTCTCTCTCTTACTTAGTGGTAGGGGATGGAAGGGAAGAAGGGATGGAGAGGGGTGGAAGAGAAAGGAACCCACAAAGCAGCCGAAATGCTGGCTACAGACATGGGCTTGTGCCATGTAAGGTGCTGGGTGTGGTCTCATGTGGGACAGGGATAAGGGGGTTGCTGGGGCTTGCCTAGGTTCATGGAGAAACGCTGCTTTGAGTGAATAAGGTGGGAAGTGGCAGAAGACACCTGACGCCCTTTAGTCTCTCCTTGCACCCTGCACGCGCATACTCGTGGGCACACACACACAGTTGTAAGCAAGAGCATCCACAGGTAACCTACCTTTTCCTTTAGTTCTTCATAGCTGATTGTGCAGATGCCTCCCCAGCATAGGAATCGTGGTGACAGAAAGTTCATCATGCCCCAGGCCCTGGGGCTGTCACACTCAGATCCCAGGATTCTCACGGCAGCCTGCCGGGAAGTTCTGAGGCTTTGGTACCATGTGACCCATGGGCTGCAGGAAGGCTCTAAAGAGCAGACAGGTCCTGACACAGGGCAGTGCTCATGTCTGGAAAGGGAATTAGGGCCTCCCATAGTCACTATGGCCCTTCCTCTGCAGCACCCAGACACAACTGAAATACGAACAGGCTGTTTGCTGAGCAGACGAGGAGTCGACACAAAATCCAAGCCCCTCCTCGCCTCGGGCCCATCGGCTTCTGCTTCCTCTAACCCTTGTAGTGAGAATTTCGGTTTCTTTAAAAACACAGAAATGCTATGGGAATATATATATTTTAATCCCAGGTGTGCGATATGGAGCTGCTTCAAACTGTCCCCAGCAGCTGGCTGTAATTTGTCCCATGCTCAGGCAGGGGCATGATTTTGCCAGCTGAGCATAGTTTATGCTTGGAATTCTGGGGGCTTTCCAGAGGATTTATAAATGCCAGAGCCCGGAGAAGCATGGCGGCTGCTGTTGCTGGTTGTTGCTGTTTAGAAATGTCCTGATGATGGAGGTCAAACTTGCCCCAATAAACTTGACACCTCTAACCAACAAGAAGTAGCCTAACGATACCAGCGCTCCCTTTCCCTCTAACCTTCATTCTCTCCTACCTAGTTTTGGGGTGTTGGAAGAGACAGGGTGGTGTGAGGAGGTAGGAAAAAGAACACAAGAAAGTAGCCAGAAGTACGGCCACGAACCCTCCCTTCTGGATAGTCCAGAACTACACTGGGCTAAGGACCTTGAAATCAAGAACAAGAACAACCAAGCTTTCAAGGTTGTGATGAGCAGCTGTGTAAATGAACAGCTGAAACTGGGTGGTGGCGGCATGCATCTTTAATCTCAGCTCTGGGAGGCAGAGGAAGGTGGATCTCTGTGAATTCAAGGCCTGTCTGGCCTACACAGTGAGTTCCAGGACTGTTGCACAGAGAAATCCTGTCTTAAAAAAAAACCAAAACAAACAAAAAACAATAAAACAAAACAAAAAACCTCACCAGCAACAAAAAACATACCAAAATAAATAGCTGAGCGTGTAAGTTTATTGACAGCTGAAAAGCATAGAAGAAGCAACAGACTCACTTCCTCCCTGACTCTCCTCACTAGGTGCTCTGAGCCCTGGAGCTGGCCAAGCCGACCCCAGCATCTTAGCTGTGTTCCAGGACTACGTCAAACTCATGCCGATGGTTGTGGAAGCAAATCAGATGAGTGAAGAGTTGGGGAAGGTAACATTTTCCCCCGAGGATGGAGCCATGACAGGTCTTGAAAGGCCCTTGGGGTCTAGGGAAGGATGAGGCTTTCCCGTGCTGGCACTGAGAGCTAGCGACAGGGCTAAACTTAGTCAGGCCTTCCCAGCCAGCCTGAGCACCTGCCTCCTCATCAGAGCCACTAGCATCTGACCAACACTTACTGGCCACAATCGCTCACCTCTGATGAGGCCACACATCTCCATCACCTCAATGGCTGATAGGCCGCAGGGGGGACCTGGGTTAGGTCCTGATGACACAGGGTCCCAGCCAGCAGGAGCCTTGAGAGGGAATTAACCAACTTAGGAAGTACAAACGTTAGTTCCAGGGTACCACTGAGAAATTCTGGTGCTCTGCCATTTGGTTTAGCAGGAAGCCCAAGGAATAAGAAGAGCCAGGCTGTGTTCTTTTACAAAGCCTGAGGCTGGAAGACAGAGAAACTGCAAAAGAAATATGAAGTAGGGGGTTGTTCATGAAATGTTTCTTTACCAGGGGCTTAAAATGGAATTGAAGGTGAAGAATTTAGCCTCCTCAGATTCCAGGGGCTATGACCTCCAGAAAGAGGTCATGGTGAAGGTGACCAAACAACAGACTCGTGAGGTAAGACCTCATCAGTGGACAGGCATGTGCCTCTCTGGAAAGCTTCCAAAGTCCACGGGGATTTTTGCCAGTTACATCCAGGAGACCTAGACAAGAAACTGGATGTTCTCTGAGTAGGAGTTATATGTGGGGACACTTTGTCGTGTTTCTTTGTCTTTTTCTCATAGTGCCAGTTCCTAGGATCTTTCCTGTAGTGACACTGTGCCTTAGTTAGGGTTACTGTTGTGATGAAACACAACGAAAGGCAACGAGGTGAGGAAAGGGTTTATTTCCCTCATACTCCCAGTCAACAGTTTATCATGGAAAGCAGTGAGGGCAGGAACTCAACCTGGAGGTCACAGATGAGTGCTGCTTTCCGACTTGCTCCTCCCGGCCTACTCAGCCTGCTTCCTTATAGCACGCAGGACCACCAGCCCACAGTGGTCCCATCAGCCCTGGGCCCAATCCTCCCACATCAACACGACTTAAGAAAATGCTCGACAGGCTTGCCTACGGCCTGATTTTTATAAGAGGCATTTTCTCAGTTGAGGTTTCCTCCTCTCTGAGTTTTGTGCCGAGTCGACACAAAACCAGCTGGCACATGTCTTATTAGCTACTTCTGCTACTGTGAAAATACAAAGACAACCTGAGGAAAGGTTCGGTTTTGCCCACAGTTTGAGAGTGGAGTCTATGCCAAGGGAAGTCACATGACACCAGCCTCCGTCAGCTGGTCACATCGCATCGTTAGTCAGGAAGCAGATGCGAAGGCAGCTTCTGTTCAGCTCCATCTCCCTTTTCCCTGAGGCCGGGAACTCAGCCCGTGGCATGGTGCTGCGCGCCTTGCCACTTCAGTTAACCTAGATAATCCCTCACAGGCATGGTCAGAGACTGACTCCTCGGTGATTCTAGACCTTGTCCAGGTTCCAGTCAGGGTTAACTATCACGGATACCCGCTAAAGACCCTCTGTTCACATTGAACATGACTCCCAGGCCCTAGTACCAAGCTGCGGATGGTGGCGCACGCCTGTAGTCCCAGTGCTAGGGAGGCAGAGGCTGGTGGATCTCTCTTTGAGGCTAGTGTGGTCTTCAGTTTACCCAGATGGCCACGGTGACCACATCTCTCTGTGTCCGCATGAGACAGAAACTTACGTGTCTGTATGGCAATTCTTCACATACCTGGAGGCCAAGAGAGACAGAAAAATCTGTTTTTCCTGCAGCTGTCCCAGAGAAGGGGTTGCTGGTTTTACTTCATCCAGTTCTTTGGGTTGTTTGTTTGTTTTGGCTTTTTGAGACAGGATTTCTCTGTGTAACCTTGGCTGTTACTTCTGATGGGGCATTTTCAGTCAAGATAATGTCCATCTAGATTCCCTAATATTTCAGCTTAAGTTTCTCCACAGCAGGTACGTTTGGAGGCCCTGCCCTTGCCCAGTGAGAGGCAGCAACCCCTGCCCTGGGCTTGTTGCTCCTTGGGGGTGAACCCCTGAACAAGAATGGAAACCTGTTTGCGGGCTTCTGAATAGAGCTAAAGTACCTGTGCTTAGTTGCAAGAAAGGTGGGGACAAGTTGTCCCCACTATGTGGCTGTGTGCCTGCTATGGAGTCCTTTCTTGGCTGTTCTGTAGACTCATTGTGTGTGTTCGTGTTTGTCTGTAACAAAATGTGACTCATTAACTGATCCAAGGTTATGACCTTAGCTCTCAGTAGGCTGGTAGTCCAACACAGGATTGCTGAACCATTTTGTTCTGTGGAAAACCAGCGGTTAAATCTGTTTCCTCACTTTTTCCAACTTCTAGACACCACCACCATGCCTTGGCTCGTGGCCTCTCCATCAGCCTCGCATTATCACCATGGCTCTACTTCCATCACACTAAATTTGGTGTTCTAGAAGGGACTCAAAAAGCTAAGTTTGATGAGAGTACTAAATGATCTTCCCAAAACTCCACCCATGAGGAGCAGCAGATTGGTAAAAATAAGAGGTGGATCGTTTACACAGCAAATGAAATGACGAGTGGGTATGGTTTTAGTAAGGGTAGCCCTCACAGGCTCATATATTTGAATGTTTAGATTCCAGTTGGTGGAACTGTTTTGGGAAGGATTAGGAGTATTCTTGTTGGAGGAGCTATGACACAGGGAGTGAGTGTTGAGGTGTAAGAGTCCATGCCAGCCCAGTGTCTGTCTGTCTCTCCTTCCGACTTGTGGATCAGGATCTAAAGCTTCCAGCTGCTGCTCCAGGGCCATGCCTGCCTACACGCTGCCATTTTCTCCCTCATGGTAATCATGGACTAGCCCTCTGAAACTGTATGCAAGCCCCAGTTAATTATGTTCTTTTATAAGTTGTCTTGGTCACGGCGTCTCTTCACAGACAGAAAAGTAACTAAGACACCAGTGACCTCCCTTTGCATTCCCAGGTATGGATCTGGTCAAAAGCCAAGTTTATCAATAGGAAATTCCTGATGGAAGAACTTTACCAGCGCTTTCTAGAGAGTGGGGACAGCCACGTGGCTCAGGAAGATGACCCTTTCTGGGACCCTGTGGAGGCTGTCCACTTGGGATCAGCACACATCTGGCTGCAGTCCCTGGCTCACTGTATGATGCTGGAGGAGCAGGTGGAGTTTTTGAACTGCGATGGGCTGGAGGAGGCAGTGCTGCACATCCGAATTGCCCCCTGCTCCCCGGAAGGATGGTGAATCTCAGCCTCTCCCAGAAAGCTCTCACCAAGGCGAGGGGGGGGGGGTCAGCTTGGTCCCTGAAGTGGTTACTGATCAGACAAGTGATTGCGCTCATTCAAGATTTGGCCTTGTTGAGTCTGACTCTTGACAAATGCTCAGCATTTGAGACAGCTCAGCAGTGCCCTGGGGAACCAAGGGAATGCCAGGACATCCCACAAAGAAGCAGATGGAGTGAGGAACCCTGGGTTGGTTTCATGAGGGAAGAAGCTTATGTTGTGGACATGCTCACCCACAGCCTGCTCCTGGAACCCTGGAAGTCTGGCACCCCCTTCTCAGAATGCTCGTCTCACTTCGCAGGCATCAGAGCCAGAGACAGAAAGTTGGTCTCTGTTCTCCATCATCTTGGCAGGGGCCTGAACCTGGCTTCTCAGCTTGAGGTTAGGGTCAGGTGTCTTGACTCCTTTGGTGCTATCTCTGGACTCCAGATTTATTTATTTTTGTTTTAGACCTTAGGATGTTTATATAGAAGTAAAAGGGTTTTAGCAATCCTAAGCACAGAGGCTAACAGGAGCCTGGACTTAGAACAAACACCCAGTGTGACCATTTGTCTTGATGAAGAGGCAACCTGCTAGAGAAAGGAGGAGCCCCCTCAAGTTCAGGGTCCAAAAAGCCGCACTGACCAAAAACTCAAGGTCTACAGAGACTTCAGGCTATTGGCTGGTCACTTGGCTACCTTGGCTGTCTAGGCTGCCCAATGGTCACATTGAAAATGAACAACATGACATTCTTGTTTCAGACTTACTTAATGAGAGGTCCCATGAGAAAGCTGTCCAAATCGGTTTCTGAGGATAGAGGGCGGATGTTGACTGGACTATGAATAACTCACGGAGGTAGATGAGAACTTAGGCTGCAGCATCTGAGAAGTCAGTTGGCTCTCCTCCTCCCCAGGACCAGCCCCAGCCTCAGTGTGCATTCAGCTCCACAGGCATTCACCACATGAGATGTTTGTATTAGTCTCTGGGCCATGAGCTCTTGGAGATGGTATCTTTTCCAGAAGCACTGTGCAGAATCAGCTCTTCAGTGACTGGATTCTGCAATGGATATTAATACCCAGCCCTCCCTCAGGGCCATTGTCTACCTGCTAAGGACTCTCATTGGAATGACATTTGAGTGCTAAGTAGCCTGGGCCCAGCTGGCTCCAGAGACTGACTTTCAGCTCCTGTCTGTAGGGCACAAGGCGAGGAGGACATGGTGATTGACCCTCTAGAGCTTCTGGGCAAGAGAATTGACTTCCAGATTCACATCGTGCGGTGCCTTGGTGTCAAATGGCTAAAGGAAGATGCAACTCGGGGCATTCAGATGGGGTAAGCGTCTGCAGTGCACAGGACCTGCACACGCCACCTGAGTGGCTCCCGGAGGGGAGGGAGGGGCCTTATTGCTTTTAACAGATGAGTTCATCAGAAAGTTCTAAGTTTTTCTGTTTGCTCAACTGCAAACTAGCTACTTTCTCCATCAAGTAGAGAAGCCTCAGGGCCCTCCAGGTTACTTGGATGGCTGCTGAGCCTCATGCAGGGTTAGACATTTTAATTGTTATAAAAAATGACAGTAAAATGTATTATGATAGTATAGAGATGCCAGATGGGGTTAAATTCATTTGGTTCAAAGGATATTGAAAAATAAAGGGGTGTTTTTAAGAAGTTTAAAAAAAAAAAAACAGTTGGGTGGTGATAGTGAGCACCTTTAATCCTGGCATTAGGGAGGCAGAAGTAGGCAGATCTTTTTTGAGTTTGAGGCAGCCTGGTCTACAGAGGGAGTTTTAGGACAGCTAGGGCTACACAGAGAAACTATATCTCGAAAACAAAACAAAACCCCCAAACTAAAAAAGCAAACAAAACAAAACAACCAAATACCTACCTCCCAAGGAAATTTAGCACTTTAGAGCCTCCAAACAGACTCTGAACACTGATTAAAACCCTTCTTCCCTGTTGGACTTACTAGCTATGTAATGTTAGTCACTCTGACAAAACACGGTGGAGACAGAAATCGTAAGAATCCTAACTGCACTGGGCTGTAGGTCTGTGACTTGCCTGATTGTTTCCTTCATAGGTATGTCCCTTCTGCTTTTCAACTATGTTTTATATTCTTGCCTCAGGTACAAAGTTTATGATCTTCCAAATATTTTGTATACCAAGCCTGTGTGGAATAATGTGAATCCCCGAATTGAAGAGACCATCCACTTTGCAGCCTTGGGTGCCTCTCTTGAGTTTCTGAATTATTTACTGACAAATGCCCTCATTGTCGATTTGTGGGGCCTCCAAGGTACATGGCTTGCTCAGTCTTTCCTGTGGAGTGCTGTTCAGCCAGATCTAATGCTGCAGGGGGAGAGGAGAGAGGCAGGCGGGTCTCTGTGGAGCCATCTTCCGCCCGGCTCCTGGTTCCATGCGGTTCACCTCACCTCACTGGGCTCAGGCCAGCTGAGACTCCTTTCTTTGCTGGTCTCTCTCACACTGCAGAAGGCTGTGTCCACTTGGGCTTCTCTCAGCTGGACGTCCTGCTCACAGAGGAAGGCCACATCATGGTAGACAGCAAGAATTTTTCCAGTGTGAAGAAGGTGGGCCAGGTGTGTACACGGCAGCTCACGGGGACTTGACAGCCTTGAACAACCTTGGTGACACCCACAATGAAAGTGGTCTGCTGCCTTTCTGTGCGCCCTGGGGGACTTAAATCTCTCCCTACTTCCCCAGCCCTTCCCTGTTTACACAGATAGTATGACCAGCTAGTGTGGAGGGCGACTATTCCGCAACAGGCTGAGCTGCCTTATCCTCTGCAGATCACATCAAACCAGATGCCAGAACTTTACCAGAAGCTGCTCCGGTCAGAGCAGGAGACGGAGCTGCTGAGACACGTGAACAGAGCCCTGAGAGAAGAAAACGTGTTTCTCAAGGCATCACTGGAAAACACTGGTTCTACTCAACAGGGTGAGAGGCGGCCATCGACTGCTTCTTCTCATTCCCAGCTCCATGTTTGGCACATGCTAGTTCTCTAGACTAAGAAGTAATTTTTAAAAAGTATTTATTGTGGGTGTATGTATGTGTGCCTGCGAGTGTGAGTGTGTGTGTGTTGTGTTCCCAGAGGCCAGAAGAGGGCATCAGCTGGATGCCATCAGAAATGGAGCTGCAGATTGTTGTGAGCCACCATGTGGTTGTTGGGAATTGAACCTGGATCCTCTGGAAGAGCAGACAGTGCTCTTCTCCAGCCACAGAACAGGAAATCTAAACGAGTTATTCCATATCCTAGACCATAAATAAAAAACAAAAAAACTTTTTTTTCTTTTGCTCTATGAGATTTCAAGTGGGTCCAAAGAAATATTTTGATAAGATATAAAATGTCACCAAAGCCAGGTGTGGTGACACACACCTTTAATTCCAGCACTCAAGAGGCAGAGGCAGCCTGGTCAGAGTAAATTTCAGGACAGCCACAGCTACACAGAGAAACCTTGTCTTGAAAGACCAAATAAACACAGAAATGCTTAGATACAGAAGAGAAACAAAACAAAACAAAACAAAACAAAAACTTTTCTTTCTGTCCCAGCCCAGAAGTCAGATAATCCAAAGGGAGCTTCTATGACAGCACAGCTGCCCACAGCTACAGAGTCTAAGCAAAAGTGTGCTCAGCAAGCCAGCTGTGACGCACAGCTGGCCAGAGCGCTGAAGGCGTTCTATCAGGGCATGAGCAGGGCCAGAGGGCGGCTCCTTACTCTGAGGCAGTGCAGACCTCCGGTGAGTAACCAGCCTCCCTGGAACACCCAAACCACGCCCCGCTAAACTTAGAGATTTGCTGGCACGGCGATGGGAGGTGTGCGTGTGAGCAGGTGAGCAAATTAATAGTGTGGGTCCTCAGCACTCGGGAGGCAGAGGCAGGAGGGTCTCTGAGTTGGAGCCTAGCCTGGTCTACTGAGTGAGTTAGTTCCAGGAAAGCCAGTGCTACACAGAGAAACCCTGTCTTGAAAAACAAAACAAAACAAAACAAATTCTTGGCAAACTAGGAATCAAATGGATAATCTTCAGCCTCACCAGGGAAACACTAAGCCTGGATGAGGCTCCATACTAATGACTGACAGTTTTCCTCTTCAAACAAGGAAAAGCCCCAGGTTCTGGCTAACCCAACCCTGCGATTTCAGCTTTCAGTCAGCACACTCAGGCCGCAAATACAAAGTCCAAGGACTGAAGAGGGGAAAGGGATTTCGTATGCGCAGGCCGTTAAACACTTCGAACTTCACTGACCCAAGTCTCACAACACTCACTCTGTGAAGATGTCATTATTTAGGTATGAATTAAGGGGCAGACCTTCTTAGAAAAGACAAAGAATTTATCATGGAGACCGGGCTGGCAGCTGCTTCTGGGAGAGCAACAGTATGTGAGAGAAAGGATCGGAGGCAGGGCTTAAGATGGAGTCACTATGCCTTGGGAGTGCCACTTTCCCCTCACAATAAAAGGGAAGTACTGGCCGGATGAAAGGCCCCATAAACAAAGTTAGGAAAAAGCTGGGGGCTGGGGAAGTGGCTCAGATGGTAAGGTACCTGCATGATGACCCGAGTTTGACCCCAGAACCATGTTAAAAAAAAAAAAAAAAAAAAGCCCAGCAGGCAGTGAGTGTATGAAATCCCAGGCTTGGGGACAGGCAGGCAGGGTATCCCTGGAGCTCACTGCCAGTCAGTAGCCTATTTAGTCATTATGAACAACCGAGATTGAGCCTGGGCTTCCACAGGCACACCTGCGAACACTCCCCTCCCCAGTCTAAACACAGACATAAGCACAGCCTGACTAACCAATTTATATCTTATGCTGACTATCCCTTATCTAAAATGATTAGGTTTGCTTTTTTTTTTTTGGGGGGGGGGATATTTTCATGGACTTTTAACTGAAATGAAGGTCCCTCACTCAAAAAGGCAAAGAGTTCTAAACTTCCTGACTGCTAATCCAGAATTATCAAGTATTAACGTTCAGAATAAAGAAATTAGCTTTGATAGGGGGAAAAGAAACCTGGAAACCTCATGGGGTGGGGGATAAGAAAGGCAAAGGCCCAACAGCAGAGATCTATTAACAATGGAGGAAACAAACCAGCCTGGGTCCGTCCCCTGCCTGTCCCACCCTCTCCTCTGCTGATGGTCACTGTTCCTCTGGAATCCCTTCTCAGGGGTGCTTGCTCTCACAGGCAGGGAATATTTCAGCAAAGCCCTACATCTGGGAGTGCTTGCACAAGCCTCGGCACGTCTACAGCACTGAAAGGACAAGCACATTCCAACTTGAAACTGTGGACTCTCTCATTCACTCTTGGTAGATCAAATGGCCTTCCTGAAGCCAGCCAGTTAGTTACCACTGACTGCTCATAACGTTCTGTTCCGATGCAGTTCCTTAGTCACGTGGGAATACTTAGTGGGCACCCATTCACTTGTACAAAGTACTTTTACTCTAGTCATAAGAAGCCTACTGTCTTTTTTTTTTTTTTTCTTTTTAGGAAGACGATCAGATGCTTCGACCTTTTGTGCACCAACAGTCACAGATGCTAAAGGAATTGGAGGACCTGCTTGAATCCAGTTTACAGAAGCTAAAAACTGATGTTGCTTTCATAGTGAAGAAGAAGAAGGAGGAGTATCTACTGCCTAGCCAACAGTGAAGATGAGCCAAATAAAAACTCCTCTGACTTATGCTCTGACTTAATGAGCTTCACAGACTCACATAACTGTCTACCATTTTTAGATAAGGTGCCCTCACTTGCCTCTTCCCTGACAAGGAAGGACTTGCTGTGTGGACCATAATGGCTTTTTCTTGCCTCTGTACCCCAAGCCCCAATACAGGGATCACAGACCTGTGCCACCACCACACTGGGTCTTGACTAGATTTAAAAATCCTCTAAAAATTGCTGGGCAGTGGTGGCACAAGCCCTTGATCCCAGCACTCAGGAGGAAGAGGCAGGTGGGTTTCTGAGTACAGAGCAAAGTTCCAGGACACCAGGGCTACAGAGAGAAACCCTGTCTTGGAAAAAAAAAAATGCTGTAAAAATTAATGCATATGCAAGATGCCTGGTGAACGTTAAGAACCTGGAACTCTGGATTTGATCATTCAAGGTTCAGTCCTGGCTAAATCTATCACTTATAAATTGTACCATGTGGGGCACCTCATTCACCCTCTCTAAGCCTCATTCCTCATCAGTTATTTGGGATGGTTAATGATTACCAACCCCCTGGCAGACAGTGTGCTCAGCATTTACCATCAGTGCTTTTGTGGGAAACAGCTCACATTCAGTTTTTTTTTCCTTTAAAAAAGGTTAATTTTATTATGTGTATGAATGTATGTATTGTATGTGTCTGTACATGTGTATGGAACTTGGAGAGGGCAGGCGCTGGGTCATCTGGAGATAGAATTATAGCCAGTTGTTAGCCACCCCTTGGGGACTGGCACTGATCTTGGGTCCTGTGTGAGACCAGGAGATACTCTTAACTACGGATCCGCCTCTCCAGCCTGTTCTCTTTTTATTTTATTTTATTTTTTTGAGACGTCTCACTTAACCCAGACTGCCCTTGAACTCTTAGTGGTCCTTCTATTTCATACCCTGTGCTGTGATCGCAGGTGCGAGCCATTTCAAACGTTAAGCAAAGCCTGTCGGGTTAGCTGGGTTTGTTATCAGGAGTAGACAATGGCCAGCTCACATTTCTCATTCCGTACTCTTGCTCCGGACAAGTCCGCTTGTTTCCTATACAGGCTTGTCTGAAACAGATTCAAGTGGCTCAGCAGCAGTGTAGGACTATATGGTCTCCTCAGTGCAGGCTTGGCTGTCAGCAAACTCTCAGTAGACAGTACATCCTGCAACAGACTTTGGTTCCACAAATGGTCAGTGCTCTGGGAAGAGTCTTTAGGAAACCCTTTATGGCCAGGGAAATATCTAGTGACAAAGTCACAAGAAGAGGGAGCTTCATTGTTTGCCAGGTGCCAGATATTAGTTCTAGCTCAGCTCTCACAATAATTTTATGACTTAATGTAGGCAGTATTGTAGTGACAGTTTTGGAAGTTTGGTTTCCTTAAAAAATAAAGTAGTATTATTCAAGTATGTTTCACAGCACGTGTGGTTTTGCCACTGCAGGTAGTTTCTGCTATTGTGATGTTTAGAATTCTGGGGACTCTTTAGAGCCCCGATAGGTGGTGTGGGTGGTTGTTGGTTGTTCAAGGGGTTGTTGGTTGGCTGCTGGCTGCTGTTGGTAGCCATTTGTTAAGTAGTCATGCACAAAGAAAAAACAAGAGCAAACCTGCAGACAGCAGACAGTAGTTTAATGGTAAAGCTGCCCACTTCCTGACTCCTGCCTTTAATCAGGGATCTCTTTCCTTTCCTCTCCCTCCTTCTCTCTCTCACATCTAGTGTTAGGGGATTGAAAGGGAAGAAGAAAAGGGGTGGAGAAGGGTGGAAGAGAGAACCCACAAAGTAGCAAACACTGGCTACAGCAGTACTTTCACAAGTTTCTAAAAAAAAAAAAAAAAAGAAGAGAATTATCCTATGATCAAGCAATCTCATTACCACATATATACTCAAAGCAACTGAAATCAGTATGCCAAAAACTAGCTGCACTCCATTTTCACTAGTCGCAGGCCAAGAAAGGGCTTAAGTGTTCACCAGTGCGTGACCTCCACTTTAAGAAAAACAGGATTGTTTAAATTGACGTGGTACCAAACTGCCTTCAAACACCCATATTTATACCTTTATGCAAATGACAACCATAATCAGAGAAGCTTCTCTTTACAATGAATGGTTGTGATTACAGAGAATCATTGCTGGTCAAGGTGTTGACGGTATGTGACAACTGAATGCTCATCTCTAAATAGAACATTTAAAAATGAGCTGGGAGAGGAAAAATGACAGTGGGCTACTCTCTTCTGGTCATTACACAGCCATTACAACCATGATCACGACGGCCGTGGCTGCCTGCACTGAGCCTGTTGGCTATCAATCGCAGATTGGATAGAGGCTCACTGGGCCCTGCTTCTCCCTGCTGAACCATTAACTACTGATAGAGTTGGGGGCAGATACTGTTTTCAGCTGTGTTCCCACTGGATGCTACCCAGTGGATAGCGCCAAACCCATGGGTGCCCAGGCCATGGTTAAACTCAATGGGACACAGAAGAAAACAAAAAGTCAGAGGAGTGTGGGGAAGTGACAGGGTTGTTAAAGGGTGATGAAAGAGGGTGGTGTGAGAGTAATCAGAGTGCGTTATATACATGTATAAAATTGTCAAAGAACAAATTTAATAAAAGCTTTCTTTAAAAGCAGGAAATCTAATTTGTGACAACAGAGATAAGCTTAAGAGGACACTGTGCTAAGTGATCAATCAAACTACAGAGAGACAAATATATCATTTCATATATACAAAAAATAACTGACAGAACTGACGGTGAGATGGTATGTACCGGGAGCTTGAGGGAGGTGGTGAAATGGAATCAGGAGTCACGCAGAACAAGAGGAAGCCTGTGTGTTCTGTCCCAGACTAAGTATAGTTAAACAGTAATGGAAATGACAGGATTTAAAATGTTCTCACCACAAATAATAATTTGAGGTGGTATGTTATTACTTTGTTTATTCTATAGTGTGTGCATGTATTTAAATATCTTTTTCTGTTGTTGCTGTTCCCAGATAGGGTCTAATTTATGTATGTAGCTTTGGCTGTCCTGGACTATGTAGACCAGGTTGGCCTCATAGTCACAGAGATCTGCCTGGCTCTGCCTCCCAAGTGCTCAAATTAAAGGTGTGCACAACTATGCTCGGCTAAATACGATTTTTAAAAATTAATTTTTGTGTGTGCATATGTGTCCATCTGTACCACTTGTGTGCAAGGAATTCCAAGGCTAGAAGAGGGCATCAGATCCCTTGGAGTTACCAACTGAGAGCCACTTGATGCAGGCGCTGCCAATCAAATCTGAGCCCTCTGCAAGAGCAGCACAAACTCCTCTTGGTTGCTGAGCCCTCTCCATAGCCCCTATGATACCCATTTTGAATCTCATAAATATATACTATTATTTGCTAACTAAAAAATTTAAATAGAAGTAATTAAAAAAAATAAGAGCTCATCTCTTTCAGGCTGAATATCTCCATTCTTTCGTACAGAGAACAGAGAGGGTCACCAAGCGTTTATGTTCACAAATCGGTGGTGCTCCTTTAGAAACAGCACAAATACTGACTGTGGCCAGGATTCTGTTGCTTTTCTTGTTGAGATAGGGTCTGTAGCCCTGGCAGGTCTCCAAACCCCTACATTGCTGAGGCTGAGTTTGAACATCTCATCTTCCTGCCTCTGTCCCCCCTCCCCCGAGTGCTAGAATTACAGGTGTGTGCCACCACACTCAGTTTATGAAGTGCTGGGACACCAACCCAGGACCTCATATGCTAGGCACACACTACCAACTGAGCTACATCTCTAGCCTTTGAGTATATGTATGTCATGTGATTATTAGAAGAGGAAATGTTCTTTTCCTTATTCTAGTGCTTCAATGCCAAACATGTCTGAAATGCAAAAAAGGCAAATTTGAGAAAAATTCTGCTGAGGCTGTCATGATCAACAAAGTTAAAAGCCATTTGCTTAAGACTAATCACAGTTATAAAGTCAGGGGCAGAAAGATGCAGTAGACCAATCACAGTAGGCCACTTTAAGTAGTAATGATGTACAAAAATAAGCAAGTCCAGAACAAAAACAAAACCCAATCCCAACCAACCAAAAACAAAACATTACTCAATTAACAACCCTTTATTATTCAACTGAGGTGAACAATCCAAAAATCAGTTCATGTAGATGGATGAGAAAGCAGACTAAACTAGAAAAAAGTACAGTTTTTCTTAGCAAATGCTCACACGCTGCAGAGGACCTCACAGGAGGGTGAGATTTCACAACACCACAGCAAGGAAGGCAGACGCTACTGCCCCAGCCTAACCACAGCCACTAGGGAATGCTGTCGGCAACCAGCAGGGACCCTCCTTCACCACCTGACCTTCCAGTTCACTTGTCAATAAAAATGTTAGTTTTCTCTCACAATCAATGAGGTCATAAAAATAGCTGATATATGAAGCTTAGGATAAGATAGTATAATTTCCTGCTTTTAATGTACAGATATTTTATACTTGACAATCTTCCATATACAGTCAGATAGGCTCATAGAAGAATTTCACATATCAAATAGAGAAGCTGTTTGTTAGTTTGTGCATTTTATGATTCAGTTAATCTTCAAATGTTTAGACTTCAGAGCTGCTTATGACACTAAATTCAATGCCATGCTTGTTGAGTCTGTCAATCAGCTTTGTTCTGGAGAAAGCTGCTCCAGGTGTGAAGACACCACCCCTGAAAGACAGTGAAAATAAAACACAGTGCCCGTGGCTCTCTCCAGCTCTCTCCTCTGGAGGGCTAGCAATCTCCATCTCACTACTCCTGAAAGCCAAGTCTTTACTGTCGTAGCTACTTCTGGCTCCATCCTAAACCCAGCCAAATGAGCACATGGCTTTCCTCGAGAGAAACTAGTCCACAGCGTGGCTCAGCTTCTCATGATGTTTCCATGCTACAGGTGTGCTCAAGGACCCTCTGAGCATCATACAAGTGAGCCTTCACACTCAAGGGGACTAAATAAAAACATGAATTGGATTCACTTGGCTAGCCAATTATTATTAAACAGCACTTAAACTTGATGAAATAAGTTTCTTTACTATAATGGCCAGTATTTACAAAAATGCTAAATGATAAGTACTTGAAATTTTTAATTAGGTTTTATTACATGCACTTTTATAATTTGCTTTTCAGCTACGGGTTTCTGTGTGCTGGCGAGGCTGGCTTAGTTCTAAGGGCACCAGCTAAACTCTCAGTAAGAGAGCACACTTCCTAACCACCTACCTAGCAGCCATGACTCAATCCCCATCTGTACAAACCCCCTCTCTACAAACAAGGAGTAAACTCAGTCCTGATTAGGGACGCCAGATAACACTGCAAAATAAACAATAGGGCCCTTTTCTGAGAGCCAGGCTTCTCTAGACTTGATCTCTCTCTCTCTCTCTCTCTCTCTCTCTTTCTCTCTCTCTCTGAAGCCAGCTTATGTGGTTCTCATTCAACTTCACAGTGATCCCAAAGGCAGATAAGAAGTTGTCCTTGGCATTTGGCATTGCTTGAACTTACATCTTTGGTCCAAAGGAACACAAAAACTTGTGTGTAGACCCAAGACTGAAAATCAACTAAAACTTAGCTAAAATGTCACACATTTAAAAAGACACCTTCTCATTATAAGAAAGCCAAACTTACCCTTTTGGAAGG